GTTTTGAAGAAGAAAACCGGAAGCAAACATCCCATTCCTATCAATTCTAAAGCTACCGCCTACACACTTTCGGAGAAATGGTGTTGCGGTTATTTTCACTAAAACCATCTATATATATCGGAGTTGATAAAGAACTTAGCGATGATAGTTTTGTTTTTCTTGGGCAAGTTCCCTTCTTTGCTCACTCTTTAAGAAAAGTCCCCTTCTTGGCCCAGTTGTTGGAGAGAAAAGAGGGAAAAATCGAAATCCCCAAGAGACAAAGAAAGAACTAAGACCAGAATCCTCTCCTTCGCCTTTGAATCCAGGGTCTTCCGTGTCCATTAATAGCCATGAATTCAAGGTAATTTCTTTTTTATCTCCATTCTACTGTATTTTTTTAGTGCTTCTTCTGCTTCTTTTTTTTTCCCTTTTTTCTTCTCATGAAGCTGAAAATGGCATCTGGTGCGTTTCTAAATGGTTCGAAACATTGTCTATTGTGTTTGAAGATTACTTATAGAAAAAAACGTGCATGTAAACTTCACATCCAACCTAAAACCAATTGGCAATAGGTGGAGTAAGCTTCTTTTTTTATTTAATTTACATACTTCATGTTATATTCTCAATGTGAGATTTGTTTGATTCAACGTATGAGAAAAAATTGTTTTTTATGAGCAAAATATGCATCAATTCTGCTTTTCTTGGTAGGTCATCATCCAAATACAATATAGTTTCTAGTATCTCAACCAAGTCTACTCCCTCAAATAATGAGGACAGTAGTAAAAAGCTCAAACGTGAGGCACTAATAAAATTGCAAGAAGTGTACAAGAACTTCAGAACGAGGAAAAAGTCAGCAGATTGTGCAGTTTTCATTGAACAGATATGGTACGTCTTATATGTGACCCTTTTGTATGTAAAGGTTTTCTCTTTTTATGATTTCTCACGCAATTAATTGTTGGAATGGTAGTTGGAAGATATTAGAATTTGCTGAACTAAAGCGGAGTTCTATATCGTTCTTTAATAAAGAGAAACATGAAACTGCTATTTCGCGTTGGTCAAGAGCAAAAACCAGAGCCGCCAAGGTAGGAAAAGGTTTATCAGAGAATGATAAAGCTCTAAAGCTTACTTTGCGGCATTGGCTTGAGGCGGTAAGTCAAGTGCTCTAGAAGGAGTTTAGTTCACTAACGTTTTTTCATTAGCTGTTTCTGATTCTAATTCTCTTTGTTTTCGTTTAGATTGACCCACGGCATCGATATGGACATAATTTAGAGTTTTATTATGATAAATGGTTTCATTCTAATAGTAAAGAACCCTTCTTCTACTGGTAAGTTTCTTTGACCAAAAGTCTTTTCCTGAACTAGTTGGAAATGTGACATTTGGATCAAGAAAGTTAAGCTGAAAATTAATATGTATGCTTTTTTAAAATGCAGGTTGGATTTTGGGGAAGGGAAAGAATTGGATCTTATCGAAATGTGCCCTAGAGCAAAACTTCAACAACAGTGCATCAAGTACCTCGGTCCTGTGAGCCATTTTTTTCTTTTCTTCATCAAACTTTATCCTTATTTGTGTTCAAACCTTTAGTAACATTTTTCCATTTTA